GTGTCTTAGGGACATGGTTTAGTGGTGGGTTTGGCAGTGTTAGGTTTATGGTTGGACTTGTTGTTCTTAAAGATCTTTTCCAACCTAAATGATTCTGTGGTTCTATGAAATGCTGTGTTGTTCGTTGCAGTGCCCGGTGCCCCTGGTGCCCCCGCCAGCAGCCCGCCGTGCACCGTCAACATCCCCATCGCCCCCATCCACAGCTCAGCCCAGGCCATGTCGCCCACGCAGAGCATCGGCCTGGTCCAGTCGCTGCTGGCCAATCAGAACGTGCAGCTGGATGTGCTGGCCAATCCGCCGGCAGAAGCGGGAGGCGAGGGGGCGGGGCCCTTCCCGGGGGTGCCGGGCCGCTTTCCTGGCCCTGGGGCAGGGGCGCTGGCCGGGGGGGAGACCTGCGGGACCACAGCGACCGCGAGCACGAGCCCCCGCCCAAGGCCAAGCCCCCACGGCCGGGGCCCCAGCTGGTGGAAGGGGATGCTGTCGTCTTTGGGGCCGCCCAGGAGCTGCAGCTGAACAAGATGAACCCTCCGCCGCCCTACCCTGGCACCATCCCTGCCGCACCGACCGCCGCCCCGCCGCCTCCACCCGGCCCCCCTCAGCCGCCTCTTGACCTCTGTCTGAAAAAGGGGGAGTTCTCCCTCTACCCAGCAGGGCACTACCAGACACCCCTAGGGTACGAGCGGATAACGACCTTCGACAGCAGCGGGAACGTGGAGGAGGTGTGCCGGCCTCGCACCAGGATGCTCTGTGCCCAGAGCACCTACACTCTGCCGGGGCCCGGCAGCTCCGCCACCTTGCGCATCACTGCCGCCGAGAAGAAGATGCAGCAGCCCTGCGCCAGCGCCACCCTGAATCGGCTCACGGTCCCCCGTTACTCCATCCCAACTGGGGACCCGCCGCCCTACCCTGACATCGCTAGCCAGCTGTCCCAGGGCAGAAGCATCGCGCAGAGGCTGGACAGCAGTATCATTCATGCAACTCTGCGGAGGAACAGCAGAGAGGCAGCCCTGAAAATGGCTCAGTTGGTGGATGGTCAGAGAGCCACCTTGCAACTTCCCCCAAAGGCCAAGAGCAGCGTTGTGACGGCGCAGTACCAGCAGAGGGTACCCACCGCCTTGTACACCTGCAGCCAATGCAGCAGCGGTGGCAGCAGCAGCAATGCGAGCGCTGGTGGTGTGGGCAACATCACTAGTGCCAACGCTAGTAGCAGCACTTCCAGTATTGGTGGTATGAGACCTGATCTGAGCACAGGGAGTGGCTCCCAGCACAGCTCCGTCATCGCTCACTCTGTCAGTACTTCGCCTCTGGCCTCCCAGTCCTCCTACAGCTTGCTGAGCCCGCCTGACAATTCCCGTGACCGAGCGGATTATATCAACTCTGCCTTCACGGAGGATGAGGCGCTTTCTCAGCACTGCCCAGTGGAGAAATCAATACGGCACGTACCTGTGTCCTTGACAGAGGCTGCCCTCAGTGTAAAACGGCCACCACCATACCAGTGGGACCCTATGGTGAGTGAAGAGATATGGGTTCCTCAGGAAAGGACATCTCAGAGCTCAGTGCCCAACCCTCTAAAACCTGCTCCTCTCATCATCGGTCAAGCTCAACATCTGGATATGTCTCGAGTGCCGTTTGTTTCCCCCAAGTCTCCAACCAGTCCCACTGCCACTTTCCAGACAAGTTATGGGGTTGGAGTACCTTACCCAGGAAGCTACAATGCCCCTCCCCTTCAGGGAATGCAGCCCCCCTGCTCCCCCAAAGAAGCTCTGGCCCCAACACAGTTTGCACAGCAGGAGCCCACAGTCGTGCTTCAGCCAGGTTATCCATCCAACCTCTCCTATTGCCCTTTGCCACCCATGTACCCGGGAAGTAGCGCCTGCTCTAGTTTACAGCTGCCACCGATCGCCTTGCACCCATGGAGCTCCTACAGCGCCTGCCCACCTGTACAGAACCCCCAGGGCACGTTGCCCCCGAAGCCGCTCCTCGTGGTGGAGAAGCCAGTGATGTCTCCCCCACCAGCAGAGCTGCAGGGCCATGTGGGCACAGAGGTAATGGTGGAGACGGCAGACACCTTCCAGGAGGTGCTCTCCTTGACGGAAAGCCCCGTTCCTCAAAGGTCGGACAAATTTGGCAAGAAGAGCCGGAAGCGCCTGGACAGTCGAGCCGAGGAAGGAAACGTGCAGGCTATCACCGAGGGTAAGGTCAAAAAAGAGGCGAGGACACTGACTGACTTCAATTCGCTGATATCCAGTCCTCGGCTGGGGAGGGAGAAGAAGAAAGTCAAGAGCCAGAAAGACCAGCTGAAGTCCAAGAAGCTAAACAAGACAAATGAGTTTCAGGACAGTTCAGAGAGCGAGCCAGAGCTTTTTATCAGTGGGGATGAACTAATGAACCAGAGCCAGGGCAGCAAAAAGGGTTGGAAAACCAAAAGGAGTTTGAGGACAGCCAGTGAGCTGGATGAATTCAAGTGCCGGAAGGCCAGTGAGAAGGAGGATGGGAGGCTGGGGAGCCAGGGCTTTGTGTACGTGATGGCCAACAAGCAGCCGCTGTGGAATGAGGCAACGCAAGTCTACCAGCTGGACTTTGGAGGGCGGGTGACCCAGGAGTCAGCAAAAAACTTCCAGATTGAGCTGGAAGGACGACAGGTAGGAGAGGGCAGCACACGTGGGCCAGGGTGGAGGGCGGAGGGTGGGAAAGCTGTGCCAGGAAAAAGCTCTGCCTCTCATGCAGCCAAGTGCCTTCTGGTCGTGTTAGCTGCTCCGTGAAAAAAAGCTTTACTATGTGGTGATAAAAAACAGATGTCAAAGGTGTAGATTCAGAATGGAGGGTGAAGTTCAGTTGTAAAATAAATGTACAGAATATGTTTGGTCCTAGTCCAGTTGGACGTGGGAATAAGGGCCTCCTTTAGTCTCACTGGCTCTCACCACTGAAAGTAGGTGGATTTTGTAATAAACACAACAGATCTCCCCAACAGTAGTTGCATTTGCCGTCAGCGGTTGTGGATGGCAGCTTGCTGAGTGAACATTGCTCCCTTCTTGCGATGCTCGCAAAGGTTAGCCAGTCAGCAGATAGCTAAGGCAGAGACGATGGGCGGGCAGTTAGGTTCCCTCCATGCCGAAATTTCCCCTTGTGGGTTACCAGGCCTCTCGGGCTGGTTCTTAATGCTAAAGGAGGGAGGCACTGACCCTCCTCAGAACAAAGTGCTCCTGGGCCGCTTCTGAACCACCCGTGGGTAGAGGGGTCTGTGGATAGTTCAAAAAATGAAAGCATTTAATTTTAGGCTGTCTCCCAAGTGGGATGTTACTACACCAAACGCAGGCTGTTAAGTGGTACCAATCAGCAGGACACTGGACTGAGACTCAGGAGACACTTATTTATTTCCTTGTCCAGCTGTCCCATCTCTGTAACTCACTTTTGATCTATTAAAGATGTCAAGGCTCTCAACTTCCTCTGATTTAACTTGAGAGTTAGATGTCTTAAATATCCAATATGCATGACCAGTGGCAGTCTCTTGTTTGTCTGTAACATCAGCTCGTTAAAAAGGCAGCAATCAGAGCCATTTATTCCCCTTTCTGCTTCAGTTAAATGGCTGTGGATACGTGCCCATGGACAGCTGTGCAAAATCACCCAGCCATAGGTTTTGTTGGTGGGGGAACAAAGCCTGACTCGACTTGCACAGCCAGCCTCCATTCTAGCTCAAGGATCTTCACTGGAGAGCAAATACGATCTGGGCTTCTGATGAAGCAAATGAAAAAGCAGTAATAATAGGCCGAACTTCAGATATTCCCTGCAGAAGAGCAACAAACAACCTGACTAGCCTTGCTTTAAATTTCAAACAGCTCCCGCTGCCCCTTTGCTAATTCATTCTTGGTGTAATTATGTGCTAGTGAAGTTTATGCAAAGGAAAACAGAACTGCCAAGAATACACAGCTTACCGGCTATGAAGTGCTAGAATCAGGAGATCTGTTATTCTCCTTCCCTGAAATCTCCTTCCTTTGAAAACAAAATCTGTTTTCCTGATGGGCTGATGATAGGATCTCTCCAAGGAAGAGCATGGTGTTTTCCTGCAGGAAGCATGGTGCTGGTGTAACCCACATCTGCTGAAATAATTGGTGACAATCTACATACATCCATGCTGTATACAGTCTAGCATGTTTTAAAGCTCAGCTTACTCTATAAGAGTCAAATACTGCAGTCAAATACTATACGGACAAATAGTACAGCGCTCTAACTCTTCGTCATCATCCCCCATTCTGTGAGTAGCCCCGGTCATATTGGCTCAGGAGGTGAGGTGTTCTTAAAAAGGAGCACAAACATTTCGCTTTTATTCTTCTCTGGTTCCTTTTCTGTGGTTCACTTTTTTTGACCTTGTTCTCTTTTTCCTTCCCTTCTCCTCTTCCCCTGCTTCCCAGGTGATGCAGTTTGGAAGGATTGATGGCAATGCTTACATTTTGGACTTTCAGTATCCATTTTCTGCAGTGCAAGCCTTTGCTGTTGCTCTGGCTAACGTGACTCAACGCCTCAAATGAACAAGCAGAGACTGGAGAGAGGAAAATGTTAACCTTCTCATAACCGGAAAATGTCAGGGCAGCCTGCTTTAGGTGTGTGGAGGTGCCTGGGAGCGAAGAAGGCAGTAAAACTGGAAAAGTCTCTTGGTGCCCAACAGAAGGGCATTAACTCTAATCAGTCATGGGGTGGAGGGTGGGGGGCTGTTTTCTGTTTTGTTTGTTTGTTCGTTCATTTGTTTGTTTTCGGGTGTTTTTTTTTTTCTTTTTAAGCGTTGTGCTGGGTCTCAGAAAGAGCGAAGGGCTGAGAGCCATTCAGTGTTACGTGGAGAAGTGTGGCTTTTGGCTTGTTGTGGTGGTTCTGCCGTGTTTGCTACAGTAGCTGATGTAAGCTCATAGGGGGATTAAAAAAGACTGCTCTTTTTGATAGACTGCCTTATATCATGCTGTTCTTTTTAAAACAGGGAACATAACTTTTTTTCTGGTCCAGTTTGTACTACTACTACTACTACTACTACTACATGAGTGATAGCAGCAAAAAAAGAAAAAAAGAAGCTATAATACTTGAAGACACGTGATTCTTCTCTGATCTCTGATAATAACTGAGCACCACAAGTTCCAAGGAGGCTTGTGTAGGTCAATGTTTAATTTATAAATAATGATCTATTATTCAGAAGAGAAACAGTTGTTACCAATGGGTAGTTTGAAAACCCACTGTGTCAAAGAACTTGATGTCTGCTTGTTTTGTGTGCTGTTATTGGGAATAAACATCTTTCAGTAGGTGACAGAAGATAGAGGAGGAAATAATTACGAGCATGGCTTCTTTTGTTACTGGTGATAAACATCTTTCAGTAGGTGACAGAAAATAGGGGAGGAAATAATTATGAGCGTTGCTTCTTTGCTCATACTGATCATCAGTATTCTCCGATTTGGCCTGTAGTTGGGAGAGGTACAGTGTGACCAGATGTACCTCCAAGGCCATGCCTGTACATGTTCCTCATTTAAATGCGTTTACACTTTATAAATGAAGTCTTTCAAGCAAATGAAAAGGCCCAGCGTATTCAGTCTTCTTAGCAATCAGTATGAATCAAGTTCTACAGCAGTGTATCAGTGCTTGAATTAGGAAGGAGACAGAAGTATAGCAAGTCTTTACAGGAAGCAATTTCATCAGGAAAGCAATTTCATTACAGGAAGCAACATCATGGCTGGCTGGAGAACAAATGAGTTGAAAGAGGAAGGAAAAATTGGACAGAATCATCCCTTTTATCACCTTTCTACTTGAGTAGTCTTTGTGACTGTCGTTGGAGAATATAATGCTCCAGACAAGAGCGGGAAGCCAAAGTTTACATGGAGTGTTTTAGAGGAAGGCTTAATAACTGTAGCACGACTCTCTGTCTGCAGTTCTTTCTGGGGAACATGCAGACCTGTTGAGCGTTTCAGAAGAGTTGCTTGCACAGAAGAGTCTCCGTGTTGTCCATGTGTTGTGCACGTATTTATTTGCTTTCCCTCTTTCCTCCTTGCCTGCATTTTGCTACGGGATATTTTTATATGGAAGTAGTTTCCCCAGTAATACACAAAATGCAAAAATATTCATGTAATTATTTGGACATTAGATTACAAAACGTAACTGCAGATTTCCTTCAGAAATTACTCTTTTGAAGTGAAAGGCACACTGAGAAAGATATGTTGGCTGAGGTGTCAATGGCTGCTTTGTCTTTGTCTTTCATCCGCAGTTTAACTTCTTACTTGAAAAACTCAGTATAACTTAAGATGAATAGGCATGATTTTCTCTCTTTGCTTTTCTTAAATCCTAATGGTAGGGCAGATGTGTGTTGCACTTGATTCGTTCTAGAGGAACATATTGCATAAGATAAGACCCTGCTGTAGTAGAAGTTACCAACATGCAGTGAGCTTGTAACTTCGGCTCTGCTGAGGCTTCTGGAGCTGTGCAGCACAGAGGGAGTAATGCCAGTCAGAGAGGAGTTCAAGAGAGTTGCCAAGGGAGATGATGAGGCAGGTCATGCACTGGTAATGTCCTGCAGGGTAAGTCCAGGAAAAACCACCTGCAAGATGGTTTCCTTGGAGAGAGGAAGCAGAGGTAGGAAGGAAGGAGGGGGGAAGTAGATGGTACCATGCCTGTATTATCCCAAAGCTCAGCAGCTCCTGCTTGCGTGTGGGAGTGGTCAGGCACAACATTCCTCTTGGCATCTAGCAGATCGTTGTTTGCTTTAACTAATTAATTTTGTTGAATTTCCATCAGTTGTCTGGGCCCATTTGTATTCTTTCTCACGTGCATGATTTATTCAGCAGTTGGAGTGCCTGTACGTATAATGTGTGTGGAACAGAGGAACTGAAATGGATTTGCTTCTGGTCCCTTTAAAATCAGTGGAAGTGTTTCCCTTGGATTTTTGTGAAGGAAGCACTATTAAGCCCTTTGTCTATATTGAGTTATGCGCTATACAAACAGTAGGTTGAATTCTCAGTCCACTGATTCCGATACACAAGGAGGAAAGTTGGCTGATGAGAGTCCTCACCTACCCTAAGGTCTCTGCTAACCAGTCGTACCCTAATTAGAGTATAATAGGCACACACTGAACGCCATAAGAGAAGAAACACACCGTGGCTTGCTTGCTGAGGGAAGGGCCACTCAGTAACATGTTAGAAATCTTCAGCTGGAAGGAACATCACCTGTAGTTTTAAGCCAAAATTCTTATTATGTGGAAACAACATAAATGTTTTTTCTCAACAAAATCTAATCTAAATAGAAGGACTTCTGCATGCAGTTTCTTTATCCTTCCAGGGAACAGTATTCCTCTTCACTTGGTTCATTGCCAGATTTTTCCAACTATCAGCAGTTTTATGCTAATGGAGAACCAAGAAATGAAAGCTGATACAAGTAGCAGAGTTAGTCATTTGGTTCCATTGGCCCAGGTCATGATTGTGTCCTTCTGATGGCGCTTAGAAAGAGCCTTGGCATAGAAGAGACCTGGTTTCTGCCCCAGCAAAGCACAAGGAATAATTACTATAAATTAGGAAAATAAGTGCCATTTTCAACATCCTTCCCATTTACTTGGCAGAAAATGCTATAGGATAAGATAATATTTTATCTTTTTAAAAATAATTTAACAGAGTCCCTTTAATTGAGGATTTTAATGGCGTAGAGAATACCCAGTATTAGAGAGAGAAAATACTCTCAAATATATAGAATTTTAATGAAAGGAATGGGAATTATGTAAATGTCTGAGTGTGCAACTGGATCCTAAATTATACAAAGAACAAGTGAAAGTAGCAGTTGCTTTATTTGTCATTGAGATACAATATAGGAAACAAATTTAAAAGCCCCCCCCCCCCAAATAATCACTTAAATCCTGAAGATCGCTATTGCATTCAGCCAAAAGATAGATGTTACATTTTATATTTTGTTAGTAAACTCCAGGTTTTCTGTAGATAACTAAGCTCTTCTAGGAAGAATGTAGCAAAGTGTTCAGAAATATTTAGTTCTTTTATACATACAGTAATTTCCAGTAGTTAAGTATGTTTTTCCAAAGTTTTTTTTAGTTGTGCAATAATTGTGACAGTCTAGGGGCTTTATGGGTTTTTTGTTGGGTTTTTTTGTTGGGTTGGTTTTTTGTTTGTTGTTTTTTTTTTTTGAGGGAGTTTTGAGTGCGTTTTTAAAGATAATTTAATGCAGATTTTCTGTTAATGTCCAAAAGACAAATTATTTATCTTGTGTAATGTAATAAGTGATTTAGGGATTATTTTATTACTATGTATCAGTGAGTTATACACATTTTCTTATTTATATTTAAAGAGCAACTTTGTAAGTAATTATTTGCTAGCAGTCGGTTTTGCTGCAAGAAGTTAAAAATGCATATAGGAAGACCTGTTTTCGCTGGATAGTATGCAAAATTTCATAATGCAGGCAGGCAGAAGTATTTTTTGGCAGCTGAATGCAGTGAGTTTGCTATGGAGGACTGTGTAGATGTAGATGACTTCCTTGGGACCTGCAGAAATCTGTCCTCCGCTGTTTTCCTCCTGTGTTTCTAACTATATATTTCAATTGGGAGTGGTTTTAAAAACACAATGCTTGATTTGCTTTTCCTCTTCTTAGTACAGTGCTTTTTCTTGAGATATAACATAAGGTGGCTTACCTGATAAAGAGGGTATAACGATATAGGCTCAGTTTGTAAAAAGTTCATTGCATAGTTTAGTAGGGTTTGGCAATGGCGTAATTCAGTGCTATGCAGAGATACAAGCAAACTAGCTTGGAATAAGCTAGCTGAGGCACGAGAAATAGCGTAGCAGTAGATACATTTTCCTCTGCTCAGACTAATAACGCTCCAGCTGGGTTCAGCTGATTCCAACACAGCCACGGTGCTTCTGATACCTGAGCTAGTGCTGCACAGATCTGATGGAGCTGAGCCCTGACACTGCCTGCAGCAGCTTGCCTCTTCAAGATGCTCCATCGGAGACCTGGTGGAGCAGGCGTTCCTCCACTCGTCCTTCTAGGTCTGCTCCAAGAGCAGCGTGCAGCTGCCGCAGGGTTTGGGCTGCAGAAGCTTTGGGCAGAGAAAGCCCCGGTGCCAGCCGGTGGCCATGGTGGCCATTTGAAGTCAGAATCTGCTCCACTGGAGTTGCAAAGGGATGCAGCAGAGAACCTGATTCTTCTGAAAAAAATATGGCTGATATCCTCGAAATACAGCTCCTAATAGAGTCTGAAAATTCATACGTAAAGTCTGGTATGAAGTGCACCATGCGTGGAGTGGCAAATTTTAGCTTGAAACAGTGAGGATATCATGTTTCTGCAACACCCTAAGAAACTATGTTCTCATAGTTCTCATAGGAGGGGGGTGAAAGAGGGGAAAAAAGGAATTATCACATTAATAATTTTGTACTCGGTTCCAGAGGTAGCAGTAACATGTGCCATGGGCTGCCTCAATATTGGTTGTATGACAGTAAATCTGTACAAAGGTTCATCTCAGTTAGATAAACTGTCTGCAATGCAACCACAAGTAAAACAGTTCCACATTTCTCTCTCCAGTTTTGTTCCCTTGTTTTTATGAAGATGCATGAAGGTGTACAGGTGTCAGACAAAGATATCTGACTTTGCTGAAGCCTTGAGCCTAGACTTTCCATAGGTCCAGGCTTTCCTTGATGTGTCTTTTAGTGTCCTCTCACAAATTCCAAACAGGTTTTGGAGCTTACCTCATTGTTGCCTCAGACAATTTCTGTGCATTTGCTTTTTATAGCCTGATGTGTGTGATCCTATGTTATCTGGGTGCCCTGTTACCTGTCAGAAGCAGTATAAATCCTCATATGAAGAGAGCAACATGCGCAAAACCTGATTTGATTGAAAGAAAGGGGAGAGAAGAAAGAGTAAGTTTTCACTAGCTTGTAAGAATGTGTTTCCCAGAGCAACAGTTCGGAAATTGCACATTTCTGCAGAGCCCAAACCACTCCATGCCAGTAAATCTGACTTGGAGATCAGTAACAGATGAGTCACTTGCGTGGCACGCTGACAGAGGGACAAACTTCCGGCCTCACTACAT